TTTCCAAAAAAAAAAAAAAAAAAAAAAGAGCACATCACTAATTTGCACATGGAGCACGCGTGCCGCATGGAGCACCGCAGAAGTGGGCCGCCAGACTCCGTTCTGATGGCTGGCTTCGCTCGGGTGTGTTTGATAAAACGACTGCTTGGGATTTCCCTGTCATTCGTTATCCAAGTGCGACCTCCAACACCCCTTCCCATCAACCGGCGGGTGCATTCACTGCACAATTGACCAGATTCGAACAAGTCTGCAACCATTGGCAGGATTATCAAAACTTTGGCAACAACAGTCACTCGTTGCATGATTTCTCGTGGGCATTCCCCATCAACCCTTGCTAAAGGGTGGAACTGCTATATGTGCTCCGGCCAGCGTCGCTATCCTACGCATGTCACGGGTCTCTCTCAGTGGTTCCGATGCATGCTGCGATGGTCTCTGTATCATCCATTTTCTTCTTTGCTCTTGCGTCGCTCGTCCTGCTCTTGCTTGCTCATCTGTTGCTACTGCAGTTTCCACAGGTGCGCTTTCCACTGCTGCAGTTTCGGCTCCTGCAGCTTCCACTGCTCCAGTTTCCACTGCTGCAGTTTTGACAGCTCCGGTTTTCACTTCAGTAGTTTCTGCTACCAGAGTTCCCATTGCTGCAGTAATTTCTTATGCTGCAGTTCCCATTGCTGCAGTAATTTCTGATGCCGCAGTTTCCACTGCAGTAATTTCTGATGCTGCAGTTTCCACTGCAGTAATTTCTGATGCTGCCGTTTCCACTGCAGCGGTTTCTACAGCTCCGGTTTTCACTCTGGCAGTTCTTGCTACTGCAGTTCTCACTACAGCTTCCTCTGCTGCAGTCCCCAGCACTATACTTTTTCCCGCTACAGCTTCCTCTACCGTAGTTCCAGCGCATAGAACATTACACCCTCTCCGACACTGACGTCCTTCTTACGTCTGCGTTCTTCCTCGCCACCCCTCCTCCACGATCTCGCTTGCGAACAGACTCTCCAGTTTCCATTGTTCCCATTGTTTCATCTTCGTTGTCAGGGACATGTTCATCTTCTGTTTGCAACTTTGTTGTGTATCATTGACGACATCTGCGACATCGTCACTTGTCCGGGGATCAGCAGCCTGTTTCTTGTCGGGCCCAATTCTCTCTGTGCCTGCTCCACAGGTTGTATCCACTCCTATGCCTCCCGCAGACAGTCCAGCTGCCTGCACGCAGCCACAACACCATGTCTTATGCCCTTCAGTGTTAGATGTTCCACTTGTATAATAGGATGTGGTTCCTGCTCAGACTACACTCCCGATTCTCGGGACAGTCCCTGCTAAGGATGCGGTTCCAAACATCGAGGGCCCGGATTGCAGTCAACCCCACAAGGCGTAGACCACATGGGGGATCTGCAAATGGCTGACCAGCATCATTTGGGCGAACCACAAATCTGTGCCCCTCCATGCGCAGACCACAATGGGTGATCTGCAAATGACTGACAAGCAAACAACCGAAGACATTTTGGGCTTGCGACACCAGGTGGGTGATCTGCAAATCATTGGCTAGCATCCAGCACACCAGCCTGAGACCCTCACCAAGCTCTGTGGTCAGACTGCAACTGATATGTCTTCACATTCTCCACCGCCCATTTCTATACACCATCAGACTTCCTTGCTATTGCCCTTCAGCTTGATCCTGATCTCCCCCGCGTACAGCCAGAGGATTGTAATTATACCAGCGAAGGGGTCTTTACCATTGCTGTGCTACGATAGTAATGGGGGACCGCCAACTTGAGCTACGCAATGCTCGAGCAGGTGAGTGATTTAATCCTCCATCCCACATCTCTGCCTGCATTGTGCACGAACCTGGCCATAACATTGGCCATTGTACATGCCTCTGACCGCTGGGAGCTGAGGGACAACCTCATCATGGCATCATGGTCCATGCTATGACTGAGGTTAGTGAGTTCTTACATAATTGCCCCTCACCAAACTGTCCGCAATCTCTTTTATGTCGAAGATCAGCAGTCCTATGGCCCCGTGCTCCAGCAGGACAATGTACCAACACTCTGCGGCGTCCTCCTTTGCGTAGCTACAGACAGTGTTACACTCGGCTGTACCCACAATCGTCTCTGTCGCAATCACTACAATCAGATGGTTTCTGCATCCATGTGTGTAGAGGACTGTCCCTCCATTCCTGACTGCAGGCACCCTCTGCATCCACACTCT